CAGCAGGACACTTAAAACACACATTTTGCTGAACAGTGGCCACAGGGAGCCAAATTTCAGCTGTAACTATTCAAGCGTTATGGTACATTTCTGTCGAGCAACACCAGACAACATGCTAAGGTATGTTAATCACAGGCTGGATAGCCCTTGGGGCATTCCCTGGGTCATGTAGCACCTTAAAAAAAATAAGAGGTACGTAGTTCAAGAGGCAAGGAACAGAAAGAGGGTTAAACTGATAGACATTCTTGTGTAAGATACATCTCATAAGACTGGCTTCCTGCTAAGATTATTGCTGCCTCTGCACCTTGTCAACTCTAGTACAGGATGAAGGCAAGTGTTTTCAGCTTGCGCTTTCCAAGCGCTTGTAAAATGGGAATCATTGGTTAAACTTGCCAAACATTGAGCTGAAAATGTCTTTTGCAATGCTTGTGTAGTTTAGCCTACAGCTGCTTAATAACAATGTTGAAGTCCTATTTACTCCAGTTTGTGCTGTCAGCCCAAGCTAGGAACAAGAGTGACTTCTTGCTGTAAGCACATAAAGAAGTTGGACAAAAAAAAAAAAAAAAAAAAAAAAAAAAGTCAGTGGCTTTTGGGGAAAGTGGAGACCATAAAGCTCTCTCCATTCTAGCAACACCACTGCTGCTTGTAACAGCCCTTCAGCCCAAGTCCAGGCATTACAAGCAATCATAGAAATCATATAATAAAATAGGAGCTTTGTACTTGGTGTTAAGCATGACAGTTACCTTTAACACTCTATCCACCTCCTGCTTGTTTAGATTTTGACTCAGCTGATTCTGGATGACGTTCCTGCGCACTCGGTAATTTTTGGAAAAAATTTCAAGCAGCACCTGCCGATGCTTAGAAAGAAAATGTAGTAATGAGAAAAAATAGTCATGTTCTACATTCCTACGCCTGAAACAAGAAAGCCACTATCAGCACAAAGCAAGCCTTTAGGTGATGTTAGCTTGCAACCACTGCCATTGAACTGTGGTAAAGGAATCCTCCTTAGCAAAGCCATCTTCTAGTAATCCCATCAGGTGGTAGAGCTACAGTTAGTTTAAAGTTACCTAGCATGAATCCTGCATAGTCCCCTGGACAAACATTCACTAATTTTCTGTAGCTGTACAATGCACTGAGGCAGGAAGAGTTGCATCCTAGGGTCAGATCAGCTCAGAACAACAGTCTGGCTGCTTACCCTCTACTACTTCCCTGAGCAAGCCTTCTTTAATATCCCTCTAGGCGTGATGCTCTGGCCCTTCCCTGTGAAAACTGTTTTCTACCAAAAACTGCCCTCTATCAAACACTGTAGAAGTTACATTACACTCCACTCACTGTGGTAACAATTATCAAGTCAGTAGGTGCCAACAGGTATCAGCTATTTCCTATTCTGATTAGAAGGAAAATCTGATCTTTCAGGTACCATTGAGGAATAAACACCGTCAGTGCTGACCTGGTAACAGCATGGGATGTCATTCAATAGGTTCTAAGGTCAGGTTAAAAAAAAAAAGATTTAGAATCTGTACTACTCAGCATTCAAAGCTATCTGCACTCCCATCAAATTAGCAAACAACGTATGTTCCTGCTTCTGCCCACTCCATCATGGCCCTGCAGAGCTATTACCACTACTGCAGCTCAAGCACTTCCTTGCAGCTGGCAGAAGCCTTTGTATTGGAAACTGCAGACTCCAAAGAGGGGCTGGGGGCCAAAAGCAGGGAAGAGGCAGCAGTAACACCAACCTTCCAGCCACTAGCAATCTGCCTTGCTAGATGCATGACCACGTTTGCTTTTACCTGATCATAAACGTCCCCGGCTTCCCAAAGTGCATAAACCTTTAGCTCATCTGGCGAAGCAGCAGTCTGTGGGGGAAACTGAGAACAGGAGGCACCGTCAGAGCTGTTGCTTGAACAGTTGTTAAAACAGGCCATTAAAATAAATCAGCACTCGGGGCTGGAGGAGCCCTTCAACAACCTTATATAGGCCTGCTGAGCCATATCTGGCCTTACTCTGGCACAGGAGTGCATTTTATCCCATGGCCCACACACACAGGCACTCACAGCCTGTTGCATTGTTCAAGTGGGAATTTAGGGCACACAGATCTTGTGCAGGCTACGTGCATGGGATGAGGGGTGAATCACCCTTGGTGTGCATCTGCAAAGGTGCAATCCCAGAGCAAGACCTTTAGAGCAGCTCCTGACAAGATGCGCAGTGCTTTCAGGAGCGGCACCTGGCAGAAGTGTTTTATTTCCAGGTGAAAAGCTGCTCAGAGCTATTCCCTACAATGGCTCCAAGCAGACTTCCCTGTCTTTCTCGAGGTTGATGGATTCCCCCTGGCAGGTTTTATTCCAATGTCCCTCCTGGACCCTCATTTCAGACCTGGAAAACAAGGTACTTTTCAATCCAAGCACCTCGGTAAGGAAACAGAGCTTGTTTCTTCTGAACTGTGGTATCTTGGTGCCCTTACATATCCCAAAGGACGTAGCAGCCTCCATCTCACTGCTCATCCTTGATACAAACACTGCACAGAAGAAAAACCCTGTTTACCTCAGCCTTTGCTCTAAAGGAAAATGTTAACAAGCAGCTGGAATATTCCCTGGCTCCTGACAGGCCTCCTCCTGCATGTTGGTCACAATTTGTTCCTTACTAACTGCCCAAACAGCACAGTTTTTCAAATCAGTCATCGGGAACGAATGGGTCAGTTCAGATCTCTGTTCGTACGGCTGGGGGAGGGAGTCACTTGTTCCACTCCAGAATGTAACACATGGAGCTGCGGATGTCTAGTACAAAACACACCTTTCCTCTCCTCTTCCTCCCCTGACTTGACTGAAAGGGCTACGTACTGCTTTGTGAGAGACCCTGGTCTTGATTTTCCCCACTTAGTCAGGATCTTGCTGTAGAAAAGGCAGAGGTTTTTTTGGTAGGAGCTGTCTGGTGAGATTAGCTATTCAATAGTCCATAATAGCCCAAATGCTGATCTATCACGTAATTTGAACAAGGTTTTGCATCTGCTAAGATCCAGGACTTGGGCTGTTTTACAGTGCAACTCGAAGAATGCCTGACACTTTCTGCACTGTCTCTTGCAGGGAACAGTAGCTGATAAAGGCTGGATTTTCTGCTCTGCTTATTCCAAAGATATGTCAGGAAAGGTGAACTGCAGTGAAGATCTGGACCAGGCAGAACACAGAGCAACGAGCATTTCTGCAAGCACCGTGTTACATGGTTCCCCACTCAGAAACACTGGGAGATGCGATGAATTTTCCGTAACCAAACAGTATTAACAAACCTGCATTTATCTGGCCATGATGGAAGGAAACTTGTTCTACATACATGTCGTTTTACTGAATTTTAGCAGCCAGCCTGCTCCCAACGAGGCACTTGTTTGAGAATAAACAAAATGATTTTCCCCCAGTCCCTCTGCTCAAGACACTGCAGCTGAAATCATCTTGTGAGGCCTTCCCCCTCCATACCTCTGTAGTGTTCTCACCCTGCCCTACTGTCAGTTCCCGGCACCCTGATCTGCTGCTTGCAAATCCTTCCTCCCAGCACTGATCCCACCAGCATCACAGGTTCTCAGCACACGCTACAATAACCTAAAAACAACCACTTTCAGGGGGTCAGGCCGTGCATGTAAACAAGAAAAGCAGGTACGCACGGGACAGCTTTCCTCCCTAGGGGCCCTTCTAGCTGCACTGTCCGCTCAGCGTTCCTCAGCAACAGCGGAGCCTGTCACCTCATTAACATTTACATTATTTAAATAAAAATCAAAACTGATTTATGAAATTCTAAAAAAAAAAAAATAAAACCCACCAAAAAACAAACGCCACCCACAAACCCAACCTCGAGTTCCCCAGTAGCAGTGGCCTCAGCTCATTATCACACCCTGTTGCAGACTGAATAATGGAATAGCTTCAGAAGGCGGCTCCAGGTAGAAGAGCAGGCAGGGCTGCAACCAGGATTCAGAAGTCAGTGGTACAGGAGAGAGCACTGTTATTCAATCCTCAAGCTGTGCATCTGCCTCCCCCACCAGTCCTTAGCCCATGTATGGGCCTTACTTGTATGCTCTGCTCTGTTTCCTGATCACCTTCTTGCTCTGTCTTCTCTTGCATTTTCTGCCCTGCCTGCTTCTCCAAGCAGCTCACTCTTCCCCTTTGACTCTCTCCCCACTGGCAGCTGACTCCAAGTTCTCTCTCTAGCTGTGAACTGAGAAGTGCTGCTAGCTCTCCTGTAGGCTGGTTTTCCCCTTAGGCTCTCTCTGTAACCAGCACAATGGCAAACTCTCTTCCCTATACCGAGTTGTCTCCCTACAGCCCTGGTTCTGAAACACAGAAGCACATTTCCTTGTCTTTATAGTAGCTGTAAAAACAGGAAGCAGGACACAAACTGCCTGCAAGGAAAGGAAATTTACTAGCCAACAACCAGAGAAATACGACACAGAAACAGTGTGGGACTCCAGTGATGTACTTCCCGAGCACCAGATGTGTCCTGCAACCCACCAAGAGAACGGATGCCATTGTTCCTCCCTGAAAGCCTGGAGAATCCCATCCGAGGCACCCAGGACACTCAAGGATTTGAATTGCCTTAGACTGTTTTAGGGCAATGGCAAGCAGGAACCACCATGGTTCAGTTCAGCACACTGGAAGCTGTGGCTCTGAGAAAGACACTGCAGGGGGAAGACTGGTGCCGTCAGAAGGCAGGACAACCCCCTGCTTCACTATAAAGGGCTTGGGCAGCTCTTGAGTCTACTCAACAGGACTTCAGGCCAGCTCCAAACCCCAGCTAATTAGCACTGGGGTCTTCCCCAAAGTGTACAGTGTAAACAGGATACTCACAGGCACCAAAATCTGCTTGCAGCCAGTGTCCAATACCATGTCTTGTAACATTTTGTCTGAAATGCCACTAAACATGTGTCCCGGGGGCAGACTGGCCAAGTGCAGATAAAATAACCGTTTCAGCTCACTCAGAGTGAGGACAAACTGTTTCTTAAAAGTTGTCAACACAAATGCTTTCAGTTCTTGTGCGACTCCATCCATGCACCCTCCAGGCAAGTGGCCATTTAAGGAGTCCGTGGAGCTCGCCTCAGAGTGGATGCCATTGACTACTCCATTGTTCATGCTCTCATAGGCAGAGGTGTCCATGGGCTCCTCATCGCTCACAGGCTCCTCTTTAATGCGGATGTTGGAAATATCCATTTTGGGCGAAGCATCATTTGGCTTGCTCTCTGCCTTTTGCTTCTGCAGATCTTTCTCCAGCTGCCCATAGTTCTGTTTGACTTTCGCTTTAGCCATGTTGACCCGCTGTTCCCCGGAAACCACCAATGGGTGAGCTGTGCAGAAACAAGAGACCCCGCTGTATGTTAGAAAGTCTTGGCATCACCTGCACGTTAATTCTGTAGAACATTTAGCAGACTTTGGTAGACTCAGGCCAGGGACCATGGTCTATGCAATAGAGGCAAGGCCAAAATAGAATGAAGAGTGAGCAACACCAGAAGACAGCAAACAGGGGATCATCTGAATAGGAGTTTTCAGAGACAATATTCAAGGGCACAAGAGCAGGCTATCCTGACAAGCTGGATGTTCAAATCAACAAGGTCCAATGAGATTCATTGCAGAGTACTCAAGGAATTGGCTGAGATAATTAGAGCCACTGGCTATTATCTTTGGGAACTCATGGAGGTCAGATGAGGTTTTGGATAACTGGAAACTGGCAAATCAAGGGGGGCAACAAGAACCCAGAGAATTACAAACCAAATCAATATTAACATCAGGAAAGATTCTAGAGCATATCATGAAGGAATCTATTTTAAGCATCTGGAGGATAACAAGGTGATAAGGAGGAGCCAACATGGACTTGTCAAGAGCAAATTATGCTTAAATAGGGGGGCTGTGGAGAAAGGAAAGAAAGCAGTGGATGTGATATACTTCAGCTTTAACAAGACATTCAACATTGTTACCCATGACATTCTCATAGGGTTCTGAGGGTCTGGTATTGTTCAATATCTCCATTAATGACTTGGAGTACATAACTGAGTGTACATTTAGTAAATCTACAACTGACATCATCTGAGTAGAACAGGAGATGCTTTAGAGGATAGGACTAAGTGGTAATTAAAAACAAATATCCAAAATATAAATTGGATGACACTCAACAAGATGAATATAAAACACTGCACTTAGAAAAAAATCAAATGCACATATACAAATTGAGGCATGACTGGCTAAACAGCAGTACTGTAGAAAAGGACCTAGAGTTACTGTGGCCTGCAGGCTGAACAGGGTAACAGTGCTCTTTTATTGAGCGGGGGAGCTAATAGCACACCAGGGTGGATAACAGGACTTAAACAAGTCATGGGAAGTGGTTCTTCCATTCCAGTCAGCCCTGGTGTATTGTGTCTAGTTTTGGGCACTGCACTTCAAGACAGACATGGACAATCTGTAAAGAGTTCAGGACAGCAACAAAAATTACTAGAGGCCTAGAAATCCTAACTTGCAAGGAAAGATTACAAGAACTGGGCTATTTAGTTTGCAGAAGATAAGACTGGACAGGGGATTTGATAAGTCTTCAAATGCAAAAAGGCTGTTATGAAGAGAATGGTGATCATCTGTTCCACGTCCACAGGCAGCAGAACAAGTAGTAATGGTCTTAAACTATAACGCGAGAAATTTAGGAAGAACTTTCTAACTCTGAGGGTGGTCAAGCACTGAATCAAGCTAAGGGGGTGGTGGACCTCCATCATTGGAAATTGAACAACACACTAGGAAAACACTTGGCTAGAATGGTTTAGACAGGGATGACCATGCCTTGAGCAGGGAGTTGAACTACATGACCTCATGAGGTCCTTAACTGGTAGCAAGATGCGTGAAGCTGGATCTAAGTCTGAAGTCAAGAGCTCCAAGAAAACAGGTGTACCCAAGTTCTCAAGTGTTTAGCGTAAATCGGGAATTGTGTGTACATCTACCCAAATTGCATGTTTTTTCCTGGGATCCCAAAGCTACTCAGTTCCTTGTAAGATGATTTTTTTTTTTAAATAAACCCTGGAGCCCTGTTGTAATCAAAGAGGCCAAGTTGGCTGAGCTCTAGCTTCCAGTTCTGGTGGGGAGCACTTGCGGGGGTGCTCAGTGTGAGCATGCATTGCTGTAAGTAGTTTCAAGTGATGCCCTTTTCATCCCTGGGGAAGAGGGGAGTGTTGGCCTGGCAGCAAGCTGCAGAAACTGCTCCCTAACTGGTTCCCTATGACATTATGTTTAATTTTATTTGATGACTGTTAGTCCCTGTGTCTACTACTATAATTTTGTAAAAATGTTGTGGCCGGTATAGCTGGCTCTGCCTGAGAAGTGAAGCTCAGAGAGCAGGAGAGAGAATGAAAGTAGTCCAGGGAAGTCAGAGTGGAGTCTAAGGAAGGCAGGAGGGAACTTCAGCAGCATAATAAGGACTGTTTGTTTGAAGCAGAGCTATCTGCTATGCTGCTTGGGATGTTGGCGCTCTGGCTCCTCTCATCCCCTCCCTTGAAGAAAAGACCCCCCTTCCCAGGTGCTGACCAAAAGAGAAGGTGCTCTCTGAGCCAAGGGTGTTACAGATTGCCATGGAAGCCAGGGACAGAGAGAAGAGCCAGATTTCAAAGTCAGAGGCTTGCCCCAAAGCCACACCAGAGCTGGCTTCAAGGGGCCCTACAAAAGAGGAAGACCAAACAAGGTTTCTTTTTTGGGGAGTCCCAAGGCTGAGCTTCCCTTTGAAAGCAACACTGATGCATGACACCTGTAGAATCTGCTGTAAAGAGAAAAAGCCAGCCACAGAATAGCTACAGTTCCCTGTGGAGATGTATGGTTATCAAGAGGAGGATGGAGGGGGATGTGATTTGAGTGACTGCTAATCAAGGGTCAGGCAAGTCTACAAGACATCACCAATTAGCACTCAAGTCATTGTATGAAAGAGGCTGAGAAACCCTCCCTCCAGTAATTACTGCTTGTAGAGAGAGAAAGTCCCCTCCCTCACTAATCCTGCCACCTGGCACCAGCATCACCTCACTTCTCAGCATGTGGGGATGCCACAGAGGAGTCGCAGGTATTGGCACTAAGGGAGTACCATGTTCCATGGTAATCTGCATGTGCCACCCCAGCTCACACTGTGATCCTCTCTGCTGTTAGACCTGCTAATCCCCTCCAGATACACCAACCATAATCCTTCCAAGGAGATCAAACACCAGCTACTGAATGGATTTGTACTTTCGCCTGTCAGTTCTGCGTACAAACTCTATGGTGCCTAAGTCTGGCAGCCAGCCAGATACTGAGGTGAACCTCCCTAGAATCTCAACTTTTCTTAATAATTTAGGATTACAGAACAGCTACTTTAAATTCTCACTGGCAGCCATGGAGCACAGTCATGCTGAAAAAAGAAGGCCTCCAGCTCCTTTGAGCACCTGTTAAACAAGTTATTTGCCAGCAACTGGATTATCAGCTCTGCCAAGGCAGAATTCAGTGCAAAAGAATTGGGGGGAGGAAGGGCTACAGACACATATGCTTCTGTTTGAGTTGTGGCTGTCCAGGGAATGAATTGGCTTCCAGCACATCAGCTTGTAAACTGAAGGGATGCTACACAGTATTCCCCAGTGACTCTTACCACTATGTGCTGGCTCTGGTGCCTGTTCACAAAACGCTCCTTACTCAAAGTCAGTGCTGCCTTGAATGAAGAACGTGTTTGCAGTCAGCTATGGAAACTGTACAGTAACCAAGGATTCCTCTATACTGGGAAATTCTCAGTACTATGGTCACTTAGCACTGCCCTTGCGGTTTTACCATGACTTTAATATAGCACAGGATCTGCCCCAAACAATGCAAAGGAAAATGGCAGACGCCTGCAGACCTCCCCCGACCTCCTCAACAGCCGAGAACAATTCACAGATGTACTGCACTGGACACACACATGCGAGACTATGTTTTATAAGGATCTGAGCAGCTGTTCATTTACCTGATTGTGCCTCATGTTTCTTTGGTGCCATATGTTCTTTTAGAAGATTATAGACCTTTTCCAACCTGGAGTGGGCAGGAAAGAGAAAAAAAAGATTCTTAGTCATTATTATACCTGCACGCATTTCGAGGCTTCTGTCTTTCAAAGACACTCCGTTCCTAAAAAGCTGATTATCAGAAGCCAAAGAATTTAGAGGACTTCAGAGGCTTAGTGAAGCTGGGAACCACAAAACTATAAATCATACCACAGTTGGCTTCTTTAAGAGGAAAACCAAATCAAACCATCTGCAAGCATCTACATGGCCAAGGGATAGTTTCTTCATTGTATATTTTTAGTTTATTCCCCAAAAGAAAGCAAGTAATTTACTTGGCCTGAATGCCCGTCCACAGCATGTACTGCCTCTGAACGACATCTGGGTGTTTTTTAACAAAGTCTTCGTCATAAGGAAGCAAGAATTCCCAGCCTTTGTTTATTCTTGCAACTGACATGTGCTCCAAAAAGTCTTTCACGTCTTCTGGGCAAAGCTGAAAGAAAGAAAAAAGTATAACTGATCACAGAAGTCACATGAACAACATGTTTGCAGTTACAGACCACTGGGCTGCAGTTTCACAAGCTAGGCAGAGCAGGGCTGGACTGGACTAAGGTTTAGCTGGGAGACTTCCAAAAAACATGTTGGCAATTCAGTAAGAAATAATCTTCCCTTGGTGACAGTACCAAACCAACACCTCCTGGCAGGATGGCAAAAGAACCATATTTCAATGGAGACTTAAAGTCAAGTGGTGGTTTGCCATCTGCAACAGTTAAATATCTCACAGAGCTTTTTGCAAAAGCTAATTCCACTTAGGTTAATTCCATGCTACCTCCCTAAGCCTCCTTGGATGTGGAGACTCCCTAAGCTTGAAGTTGTTAGGTGCTGTTAAAAGCCCAGAGGTGGCTTGTGTCAGCCATGGGTCATGAGGCTGGGTATAACACACCAATCACCACAGCTTGCAAAGCATAACATGATCTTACATGTTGAAAGATTATTCAACTGAATTTTACTCTGCCATATTATTTCTTTTTAAAACATTTGCAGTTCTTTTCCCACTCCCCTCTTCCCACTTACTTGCCTGATGTTTAAATGCCTGAGCAGATGATTCAGGAGTCAGGTACCCGAGTCACTCCTAAGTAATTAACCACCATCCTCCCTTTAGGACACTCACAGTTTTGATTCTGCCTTCCATTTGCTCTGGTTAATCCAGCAACTCACATCCAACCCCAAGCAGAAATGCCCTAGGTTAGCACTAAGTTAGTAATGAGATGTGTGAGGTAATGTCCGCAGTCAGCAGTAATACAGCTCCCTGCCACTGTGAGAATCGTTCAACAAATGGCTTGCATCTAGGTCAGTTGGCCGTGAAGGGGGCTGTTGACAACACCCCATCCGTTTATCACAAACCTCCAGGTTAGAAAAAATTGTCACTCACTTTGGTAACTGTAGCTACTTCCTTTCGCACAACCCAGCGATCCTGTGTAAACTTCCACATCTGGAGGCAAGCAAAGGGGAAGAGACATTTTAGTAAGCTGCATTACTGAAGAATGAGTTCATGTTGTTGGTGACCACGAGGATGGAAGCAGAGGCTGCAATTCTCAGTAGGGCCCATGGTTAACTGAGGTAAGGTAGACCCGACCCTAGCCTACTCTATTCTTGTCGACAATGTTGAACAAAAAGCAGCTATTCTGGGGGATCCAAGATTTGCCTTGGTTAAGCCATGGCCAGAGCTGTACTTATAGCCTGGTTAACAAAAAGGAAAGAGAGAGAGAGGGTCTGGAAAAACAGCTATGACTTTTAGGCATCAACTGGCTTAGAACTCAAGGCATTCTGCTCCAAACCCTGGCTTCCTCTTAAGGAAGTCTCCATCAGCCATCACTACTAGTTACATTTACACCCTCTGCTACTGTAGGACTCCCACCTTCTCCCACAGGACTCTCTGCAACACCTAGTATAGTAGCATCTACACACTGTAGACAACAGTGGGTAACATATACCCTCCACCAGTACATGACACCACAACTGCTTAAAATCCACTTTTAGGGCCACTGTCTCCCACCTCAGCTTTCACAGGCAAAGGTCCTTTAATTTTCACTATGTTGTGAAGGGCTGAGAGGGAACTGAAAGCCTCTTGGCTCT